CCCTGGTGCCTCACAGGGAAGCCTCACCCCATGACTGCATGACTCTGCCTCTTTCTCTTACCTAGCCTGCTCTCTGCTCTCTCGGAAGACTTTCCTTCATCTTTACCTAGAAGACAGAATCCTTGAGTTTAAAAGAAATGGAGTTGCAGAACAATAATGACGATACTAGACCACTGATGGATCACTCTTGAAACTGTATCTTGTTTACCAAGGCGTACCTACGTTGTAACGGTGTAAAAGCACGCACAGAAGCGATGACACCGACTTCAGGGCAGAAGTTTCTAGCGAAGAGAGCAAAATGATGGGCATTGCGTTGAGAGGAAAAGAAAGAAAACATATTGGATCAAGTATGGCTAGATGTGAACAGTTAGAATTCTGGGTGGTGGGTGCATGACTGTCTCTCATTTCTGTTGAGTAGTGTTTTTCAAATTTCTCAAAAGAAAATTCTTATATATAGGGTATGGTCTTATATTTTGTGTGTGTGTGTATATACATATAGTAATATAGAGAGGATATAGATAAGATAGGTACACACATACGCTATAGCACGTATAGGTGTGTGTATACACTTAGACATAGGATAATATGTGTTCTGTCTATATAGGATGAATATATGTATCATGTATGTATTTGTCATTTACAGTTGACCCTTGAATAACATGGGTTCTTTCAATAGTAAATAATACAGTACTACACAATTCAAGTTGTGGATTAATCCGTGGTTGAATCCAGGGTTACAGAACCTTCGCCGTGGAGTAACCGTGGATACAGAGGGCCAGCTACCCCGTAACACCCTGCATTGTGCAAGGGTCCACTGTGTGTGTGTGTCCATATGTGTGTGTGTGTGTAATTGATTATGCTTCCCTAGGGAACCCTGGCCAGTGCAGCTGGACAGGCAGATTCTCTTACAGCAGATACAGCTGTGGTTCCCCTCTGTTTGGGAACCACAAACAGAACACCTTAGCCAGTTTCTGCAGTGCTTCTGGGGGCAAAATAGTAGTAACTGAAACTGACATGTGTTGAGTGCCTACTCACATATCTAACGTTTAACCTTTCCCAAAGCCCCCTGGCTGTTCTGTAATCCGCATTGCACAGAGAGGTCAGGATAGAGTGGGGGTTTTTTGGTCCTTTTTTTTTTTAAACCAGATAAGTAAACTAAAACTCAAAAGAAACGTCGCAGGGCCCCACAGCTGGTGAGCAGCAGGGCGGGGGCTGGGACCGCAGTCCACTCTGCGGCTGTGGTACCCGCCACACCTCTCTTCACTGGCTTTCCCATCCACGCTCATTGGTCCGGCCTCGTGGCGTTGATGAAAAAGAAGGGTCCGACCCTTGAGCCTGTCTGAAGGCCCCCCTCTGAGCCCTGCACGTCAGGAAGGCAGCAGGCCCCAGGAGCTCACGGGTGACCCCTGAGCACTTAACTTCCTCTGCTCCCAGGGTACCACCTTCAGCTCTTCACTCCTCTGTTCTACCCAACTTGGCTTTCAGCCCACAGCCGCCGTCAGGGAGTGGGAGGCTGTTTGTCACCACCGCCTCCTCTCAGCTCAGCCCTTCCCACCAGCTGCCTTCTGCTTTCTGCTCAGCCAGAGACCACATCAGTCTTGTTCAAAGTTCAGAAATGATGACTAAACGCCACGAGCCACTCGATTCCTAGGGCCTGGCTTGAAAGAAATTGGACTGGGAAATTGGACACAAATCGAACTTTGGAATAAAGGCAGGGGGACCCAGTGACCTTAAGGGAAGATGGATGATGCCAAGTTAGGCAGCCAGTTTTATTATTAAATATTTCTTGACTAGCTGCTGGTCTGGGACTTGTAATGTTAAGTAGTGAGAGGCACCAGGGATCGGAGGAGAGTGTGATCTCCACCTTTAAAATCCCCGCCGAGAACTTTGGTGTCTCACTGGAAACTACACAGTGGATCTGCCCCCAGGGTTTCTCCACTTTGGCGCTGTTGACATTTGGAGCTGGATGACGCTTTGTGGAAGGCGGAGTCCTGTGCATCGCAGTGTGCCTGGTCTCCAGTCCTACATGCCAGGAGCATCCTCCTCGCCCCCAGTTGTGACCACCAAAAATGTCTCCAGACATTGCCATGTGTCACCAAGTGTCAAAGAGCCGATGGTCTAAGAAAAATAAAGGGTGAGGCTGGGGTCAGTTACTTCTCCTTCCCTTTCGTCTGTCAGG